GTGTGTGTCTGTGTGTGTGTGTGTATGTGTCAGTGTGTGTGTGTGTGCGCCAGTGTGCGTGCGTATCTGTGTGTGTGTGGGTGTGCTTGTGTGTGTGGGTGTGCTTGTGTGTGTGGGTGTGTGAGAGTGGGTGTGCTTGTGTGTGTCTGTGAGTGTGAGTGGGTGTGGGTGTGAGTGTGTGTCTGTGGGTGTGAGTGTGTTTGAGCGGGTGTATGTGAGTGTGTGTGTGTGGGTGAGTTGGTGTGCATGTGTGTGCAAGAGTGGGTGTGTGCGCGCGAGAGTGGGTGTGTGTGTGTGTGAGAGTGGGTGTATGTGTGTGAGTGGGGGTGTATGTGAGTGTGAGAGTGGGGGTGTATGTGAGTGTGTGAGAATGGATGTGCGTCTGTGTTTTTGTGTGTATGAGAGAGAGTGCGTGTGTATGAGAGAGTGTGTGTATGAGAGAGAGTGTGTGTGTGTGTGAGAGAGAGTGTGTGTGTGTGTGAGAGAGGGGGTGTGTGTGTGTGTGAGGGTGTGTGTGTGTGAGAGAGTGTGTGTGTCTGTGTGTGAGAGAGAGTGTGTGTGTGTGTGAGTGCGTGTGTGTGTGTGAGAGAGACAGCATGGGTGTGAGTGTGTGTGTGGGTGTGCATGTGTGAATGGGTGAGTGGGTGTGCGTGTGAGAGTGGGTGTGTGTGTGTGTGGGTGTGAGTGGGGATGTATGTGAGTGTGTGAGAGTGGGTATGCGTGTGTGTTTTTGTGTGTATGAGAGTGCATGTGTAAAAGAGTGCGTGTGTATGAGAGAGTGTGTGTGTGTGTATAGAGAGTGTGTGTGTGAGAGAGAATGGGTGTGCGTGTGTGTGTGTGTGGGAGAGTGGGTGTGCGTGTGTGTGTGGAAGAGAGAGAGTGTGTTTGTGTGTGTGTGGAAGAGAGAGAGAGTGTGTGTGTGTGTGTGTGTGTGTGTGTGTGTACGAGAGAGAAAGTGTGTGTGTGAATTATTAAACTGGAGAGTGTTCAGAAGAGATTTACCAGGAAGTTGCTGGGAACAGAGGGTTTGAGAAATAGGGAGAGGTTGGGACTTTTTCCACTGGAGCGTAGGAGGCTGAGGGGTGACATTATAGAGGTTTATAAAATCTTGAGGGGTATAGATAAGGTGAATGACAGGTGTCTTTTCCCCAGGGTGGGGGGATTTCAAGACTAGGGAATACATTTTTAGGGTGAGATGAGAAAGATTTAAAAAGGACCTGAGGGCCAACACAAAGCGTGGCCTGTGTGTGGAATGAGCTTCCAGGGGAAGTGGTGGATGTGGGTACAGTTACAACGTTTAAAAAACATTTGGATGAGTACATGAGTAAGAAATGTTTGGAGGGATATGGGCCAGGAGCGGGCACGTGGGACTGGTTCAGTTTGGGAATAGGGTCGGCACGGACTGGTTGGGCCGAAGGGTCTGTCTCCATGCTGCGTGTGACTCTAAGTCATGAATAATAATGCACATGTTCCACATCGCAGATTTAAAACTGACAGCTTCTTCTTACCTTTGCTCACTTGCACACAGAAAAGATAACCTCAGAGTGACGGGGACAGCCCAACGGACATTACAAATAAAAACGAAACGGGATAGGCGGAGGTCATGTTGGGGATCCCGGAGCTGTGGACGAATGTGCCGACGATATCCCAGGCTCGGAAAGGACGGACAGCGCCAGTGGTGAAGGTGACGGATCCGACCCACCTTCCCCCCACCACCACCCCCAGCCCCTGGGAGAAAAGGACATGCAAGATCCCGAGCTCCCGGTGCCCTGTCCCACTTGCACACACTGCCACGCTCCCCAGTCAGCAGCATCTCTGTCTCGGGCCCTGCTGCGGCGCTAAGAGAAGGAGCACCGTCTCTGACCATCCTGCTTGGGCAGCCTGCAGCCTTCGGCACTCAATCTCCAGTTTGGTCACGTCCTTTACCCAGCAACCGCGCCCCCCTCAACCTCCACAGGCCCAGGCCCAGGCCCAGGCCCTGTTCTTGACCGGAGCTGCTTTCCACACATCTAACACTGCTGTCACCTGCTGATGGGCCCCATTCTCACCGATCTAGCTTCTCTGGTTTACCACCTCAGTGACTGTGTTCCTCTCTCTCTCTGTCAGTCTCTTTCGCTCTATCTCTCTCACTGTCTCTCTGTTTCCCTCAGTCTGTTTCTATCTCTCTCTCTCTCTCTATCTGTCTCGCACTCCCTCCCTCTCTCTGTCTCTCTGTCAGTCTCTCTCACTGTCTCTGTCTCTCTATCAGTCTCTCTCACTCTCTCTTCTCTCTATCTGTCTCTCTCACTGTATCTCTCTCTGTCTCTGTTTCCCTCAGTCTATTTCTATCTATCTCTGTCTCGCTCTCCTTCTCTCTCCCTCTGTCAGTCTCTCTCACTTTCTCTGTCTGTCTCTCTCACTGTATCTCTCTCTGTCTCACTGTTTCCCTCAGTCTATTTCGATATATCTCTGTCTCGGTCTCCCTCTTTCTCTCTCTCTGGGTTCTGTCTCCACCTATCAACTCATGATGGGAGTCATCCAGACAAAGAGGTGAGGGAGAGGTCCACCGAACTCACTCACTCACTCACTCGCACTCACACACTCACTCGCACTCACACACTCACTCGCACTCACTCACTCACTCACTCACGCACCGGCTCACCGACTCATGCCCTCTCTCACCCGCTCAATCACTCGTTCACAAACCGACTCCTCACCCCAGCCACTGAGTCCGTCACTCACCCACTCTCACGTCTCGGTTCATGGACGGCCTGCCTGTCGAGTGGTACCAAGGCTGCCAGGGAGCAAGGCGAAGCGGTCACAGTTAGGATCGATCTTCCAGCTCGGCGCTGGCAGGAGAGAGCGGGGGGTGTGGGGGGACCATGGTGAGGATTGCTACTCTCAACAGGCTCCCATTCGAAGAGGCGAGAGACGTGTCTCACAGACGAACCCTGTAAATTAAGTAAACATTGTGGAAATAAGGACCTTGGATCACTGCTTGTGTGTTGCATGTGTGTGTGTGTGTCTGTGTCTGTGTGTGTGTGTGTCTGTCTGTGTGGGTCTGTGTGTGTGAATGAGTGCGTGTGTGTTTGCGCTTGTGTGTGCGAATGTGTGTCTGTGTGTGTGTTTGTGTGTCTGTGTGTGCGCATGCGTGTGTCTGTGTGTGTGTGGGTGCATGTATCTGTGTGTGTGTGTGTGAGTGCGTGTGCATGTGTGTATGAGTCTGTGTGCATGTGTGTGTGTATCAGTGTGCGTGTGTGAGTGCATGTGTGTGTGTGTATCAGAGTGAGTGTGTGTGTGTGTATCAGAGTGTATGCGCATCAGTGTGTGTGTGTGTCTATCAGAGTGTGTGTATCAGTGAGTGTGTGTGTATCTGTGTGTATCAGAGTGTGTGTATCAGTGAGTGTGTATCAGAGTGTGTGTGTATCAGTGAGTGTGTGTGTGTATCTGTGTGTGTATCAGAGTGTGTGTATCAGTGAGTGTGTGTGTATCAGTGTGTGTATCAGTGTGTGTGTGTGTATCTGTGTGTGTATCAGTGTGTGTGTATCAGTGAGTGTGTGTGTGTATCCAGTATGTGTGTATCAGTGAGTGTGTGTGTGTATCAGTGTGAATGTGTGTGTATCAGTGAGGGTGTGTGTATCAGTGAGTGTGTGTGTGTATATGTGTGTGTGTGTATCAGTGTGAATGAGTGTGTATCAGAGTGTGTGTGTGTGTATATGTGTGTGTGTATCAGTGGGGGTGTGTGTATCAGTGTGAATGAGTGTGTATCAGTGAGTGTGTGTATCAGTGAGTGTATCAGTGAGGGTGTGTGTATCAGTGTG